CACACAGTTAAGCTCATCTTCTGCCCCGGGCTCATTAAAAATACTCAGCACGGCATTGGTTTTTAATGTCACCTGCGTGGCCTGTCCCCTTTCAAACTTTAAATGACTCCTCTTCATTCTTGTTCGCTGCACATGCACGCTTGCCTGCCTGTTCTTGTGCTTGACTAAGCTTATGTACACTTTTTGTAAAATATGTGGAATAACAAGCCGGTGAACACTTTGTTTGCCGTTTCTGGTTGACTCAAATTAGCACATTTTTGCTTTGCGTTATGGCATTGTTTTTCTTTGTGTTGTCCAGCAGTGAGTTTGCACACGTTACATCTTATTGGGACCCAACAAGAACAAGAACTGTATTGAAAACGTTGCCATAAAAGTGAAATATATCAATATAGAAGTGTATTTTTCAGCTTTTATGCATTTTTCCAAGCTAAACTAATTAATTACTACCAATCAAGCCACACATGTAAAGTGAATGAAACCTTCCTTTAAGCTCTTCTCTGCCATCCTTTCCTGTTCTTCGGCTTCACCTCCTTCACCCAAAAATGTAGTCAAGCACCACTTTCAACTGTCTTTTGTTTTGCACAATAAGAGAGAAGCCGAGCAGATGGCTGAGAGGGCTGATCCAGATTGGAAGAGTGCAAAGGAGCAGTGAGGTTGCTACACAAAAGTCATGCAGGCAAAGGACTTTTCAAAGTAACCGAGAGGCAAAACTGTGACAAAAAGATATAGGTTCAAGTTGTCAGTTAAGTCAGAAATTGAAACAGTTTGGAGGTCTTATTTTTTTCCTTCACATGAAATTAGTAGGGAACTAAATACAGGCAAACTGATCATCTGGACAAGAAATGAGAGGCCGGTCGGAGCTGATTGGTAGACAACGAACGGGGCTGACGAGAACAGGTGGAAAGGAAAAACGAGGAGACATGAGAAAAAAACAAAACAAAACAACACGACGATATGAAACAAAATGAAATCTAATCCAAACCAAGTCAACAAAAAATGTTACTTTTTGTTCAAGCCAACAGAACTTAAAATGGGTCCCTGGACAATACTAGCGGGGGCCCTGCTCCAGTAAGTGCTTGACTTTGTTCACATGCTTGATGGGTTCAATGCGGAGGACAAATTATGTGAATAAGAATATTGAATTCATGATACGGAAGATATTATTTTTGCCATTGTCTAGTGTTGACAGAATTGTGCAAGCGAATGCTCATTTATGTGAAGTAACCTGAATATTTCCTCTACAAAACTGCACTCCTCCTTTTTTCCCCCCAGTTACACCAACATTTGTTTGGATCCTCACTTACCTTAAAGACGAACTTTTCCCCCCAAGCTAATATCAATGATTTCAAGGAGTGTGCGTGCCCAGAGGCTGTCAGAAAATTGTTTGCACATCCTACTCTGCATCTCCTCGCCACAATTGACTCAAGTTTCAAACAAGTCACTTTTCTAGCCTTGATGCAGCCTCCCTTCAATAGCTCTGTGTGGGGTCACACCTCAACATTTTTGCGTGAAGTGGCAGAGAGAGTACGAATAATTTTGGACAAGGAGCTTTGTGATTGTGAAAGTCTCCATTTTTTTAACCCACTTTGTTTGGTCATTTATTAACTCTTTGGACTTGATTTCCTAAAGTTTTGCATATGCAAAAAAAGTGTAAACTTGCTTGTGTATGCAATGATAATGCTAACTGTATGCATCCTGGAACTGGTGCCTGTCAAAGATGCAAAATTGCCAGGCAATTCATTTTGCACATTCTGTGAGGGGCATAAATAAATTGTTGAATTTAGCGTGCACAAAGTCATTTATAAAATTTGACATGAAGTGCAACAGTGATAGACAAATTGATAGTGCGTGTGAAAGGAAAGTACAAACCAGCACCCAAAATGATGTAAGCGTAGTGTAGGCAAAATGAGAGGCGGTGGGTTTCATCTTGTGTAAATGTTTTTGAAATCCCAAAAATAAAAATGATCAACCGTCTATTCGGCAATTCAATTTTAGAGCTTCTGAATGGTTGCAGGGCTGACTTGGAGCCAGTCACAAGAAGGTGTCATGCCATTTCAGAGAGACAGAATACCTGTTGCCTCGGATTCACTCTGTTTACCCTACAGACAATGGAAAAAAAGCAGTCGTGGGCTGTCATATGTCTGCCAAATAATAGTGACATGGCAGCCTCCAAAAGCTCAATTTTTAATTTGAAAAACACATTTTACATGTAATCTCTGATTTTAGTGTGCTTTTTCATGAGTATCAACAAAAAAAGTTAACTTAAGGCTGTTTCTTACTTTCAAAATATTTCATTCATTATTGTGTTAGAGTGGAATTGTTGTGGGCTCTCTGAAGTTGCACATTTCCATTTTGTGTGTTTGTCTACTTCAAATTAATTCTCAGATTACAAACTGAAAGCTGCAGGTGCACCCGGGTATCATGTCACACTCTCCGAATCTGCACCTCTTTGATACGCTGTGAAAAAGCGACATCTTTGTCATCATCTGTGGTGAGTTTGTCTCCGAGATGACAGTGTGGGCTCTTTGTTCTGGCACTCTTGTGACGGGTCTGCAGTCTCAGGCTGCGTCACCGATCAACACTGCAGGGTGGAGAAATCTCTGCAGCCAGCTCATATTGATATATACATACAGTATTTAAACCAAAGAGAAAACACATTTTTGCTGCAATTACTTCTGTTGTTATTAAATTACAGACTGAGAGCCACTTTATTCAGATTCGTTTCAACAAAAAGTTATATTAAGAGTATGACTCTAATTAATAGGAAGTTTGGGAATTTAATTTAAAGAAAAGCACCTCTGGGGGGAACGACTTGCTCTCCATCATAACTTCCTCGGTGAAAGCAAATTCCCTTTTTAATTTAATCTGGCACAGCAGGATGAGCTCTCAGGTTCCCGCTTGGATAGGCTGTGGTGGAAACAACTTCCATTTCTTGTTCTGACACCTTGAAGAATACGCTTTTTCAAGTGACTGTAGCTGCCATCACCATAGCAACACAAGCAATCCTGAACATGGCACAACACGGATTAAACGATGATGGCGGAAAAAATAAAATGCAATTAACTAAAGCTGCTTTTTATCATTCACAGTGTGCCAGCCATGCACGTTCTGCTTTCTCTTGCTTATATAAGAGAAAGGTCATGGCATATCTATTATTAAATGCCCAAGTCATAGGAGTCTGCATTATTAATAACTGTAGTGTCATCTGTAAACACACACACACACACACGCACACACACGCACACACACGCACACACACACACACACACACACACACACACACACCAGGTGACTCTGAAAAGGAATCAACCTGAGCACTCCCGATCAAGCTAAAACAAGTCAGGAGAGATGTCAGAATACCCAATAAGCATTTCGAGAAGGAAAAACTCAAACATACAGAGCTTGTCCGAGATATTTCAAAATATGCCAAGTATTAAAAAGGTAATTCAGTCAAAAACCATATGCGTCCTATGGGAAAAGTGAACAATTAGCCTTTGTTGTCTTGACATAATCGTGTAACGTTTGAGTGAGCCACCTGAGCTGTCAGCATGTCAGGCACATAAAAGCAGCACACAAGCACAAGCGCACTGTGAAAGCACTGTATGGGGTACAGCAGCGAGAACTCTGAGACACCCGCCCACCCTTCCTGAATCAGCCGTTTCTGTGGTGACCAGAGCGGTGATGCGTTGCGGGTGGAGTGGGGGTGAGGGTGGGGGTGTAGTGCTCACTCAAAGTGAAGAGACAAACATTCCAAATCTGGTGGGAGCAGCATGAAGGCGGGGAAGGATTGATGGGAGGATGCTTGATAAAAAAAAAATGTGTCAGGTTCGCTGGGGAGCTGCGACTGATTCCTCGACGTGACCAAAATGGTTGACGGGTTGACACTTGCAGGGCGCAGCATCCGCATCCCGAGTCGCAAAAACGGAAGGGCAACGTTCACTCACAGGGGCAGCCAAGATCAAGTGCGCCTGTAAAATATCATCTCGTCATGTGGACCCTTTTACTAACATCTCCTCCCTCTCTTCTTGAACACAAAAACAAGGCCGCATTCAAGTTTAAAAAGAGTGCACTCCTACAAGTTGCACACGCTGAAAGATGTTCCATCTTTACATCCCATAATGCAACGGCACAGGAGACAAGAATTCTAAAATGGAGAAGTGGCTGATTTGTAATGTCATTTATATGCGAGATAAGAAACGAGTTCTAGCTCATTCGTGTTAATACCTCTTGGACATGCAACATCAAGCATTCAACAGAATAACAACCAAACATTCCACAGCAAACATACAATTGGGGCTCTGATGGAATAATTAGGCAATCTTGTACTAGACAAATTGCTTCTTGTCGATGCCACAGCAAAGAAGGATGACTGCAGTTACTCTCTTGTGCGTCTGTGACAAAAGGCTCACACTAATCTCAAGAAAAACAGGCAAAATCTGAAATGTAAACACCTCCTGATTTACCCGACTGTTGTCGCCTTACAACTGTGTCCACACGCTGTGAGCTGCAATGTGTGTGCACATTGCTTCCGAGATTGCTGCCCGCCTAAAGCGCAACATAAAAAACAGCACGGTCTTTATGTTTCCCCCTTTGGTTTCTAAACAAGGCTGATAGCGGTTGGCAAAGCCACTGCTGAAATCGTTCCCACTCCACCCACTCGCTCTTTCAGGGACACATGGATTACCACTGGGGGGAAAGGGGATACCAGGCAGATTCGCTCCTATCAGAGGCCGTGCTTTTCCCCACGTCCCTGTCGTCTTTTTCACATACCGCTCAAGAGATACACAATCCTTCACACTCACGTGAAAAAAAAGTAACACCTCTTCCTTTCTCACCTTATGATAGACGCAGCTGTTTCATTGGGAAAACTTTCAGCAATGACATTTCCTAACTGGGGACAAGCTTGTAAATAATGAGCATTTTAGTAAGAATGTCAATATGTACTCTTTGTTATCCGAAAGGCAAGTGAGCCTGAGCTTGGGGAAAGTACTGAGACTCACCTGTTAGTGCGGCAGCTCCTTCTACCGATCGACGCAGTGGGTTGAAGCGAGTCGCTCACACTGGACTCCTTCTCTCGGACCGACTGGCATGGCACCGCAACGGACTCGCAGTTTACGGTTCTCTCTCTCTCTCTCTCTCTCTCTCTCTCTCTCTCTCTCTCTCTCTCTCTCTCTCTCTCTCTCTCTCTTTCCTTGCAGTCTAGTAGACGACGAGGAGTTCTGCCCGTGCTGGGGGCTGCAGGCTGTCATCAGTCTCTCTCTCCACCCCCACCCCCTCTCTGTCTCCCTTTCTCCCTCTCACTGTATTTCGCTCTCTTTCACAGCTGGCAAAATGTGTTTACATTACGCGGTCACCATTTGCATATATCTGTGTGGATGTGATGGTTCGAAAAACAGTAACGGACAACTGTTACGGGCTTTGGTTTAAGTCTTCGCACTCACCTCCTGCTCCCCCCTTCGCACCTCGAACCACCAACCCATCCTCCCTCATTTTGCCAGCCCCTCAAAGCCTGTTCAAATGAATCACCAGCTATCAGCCAATCGTGGCAGTGAAACACAGACGCGGATCAGCAAAACACAAGTATTCATGTTCACGTGTGCTGAGGAGAAAAACATCAAATGGAGGACAGTCTCAGGGTGTTTCTAAACAACTAAGACAAAAACATCGCTTGACGTCTCCCCCCCCCCCTCCCTCTCTCACACACACACGTTTTTCTGTGTGCATGATGTGTGCGTGTGTTCACATTTGCATCCCCACTCTCTCTCTTCTGATACTTTATTGAAACGTATTCCAGTTGTTGGGGGGAGGGGTGATCAAGGGTTAATTAGTAACAAGCGTGAATTTTTTTTCCCCCCTCCTCTCTATGTGCAACATCACATCCTCACAGCGACACGCCATATTCGAGCCACGGCGTCCATCGTCCTACGCCAACTGTCTTCCCCTATTTTCATGGCTCTCCGATGGTGGAGTCTTTGTCGTCATCTCTCCGGAGCTTTTATTTGTTTCATCACATCACCCGTGCACTGAGGTTGTCTTGCCGTGGTCCAGCTGAGGGCTTGACTTTCCGATACCTGAGGGGGATGTTTGAAGTTGCTTGCTTAGCGTAGCTCTCATAGTGAGTTTGCTTCTAATGCCATTTGCTCCACTCTGTAACCGTGGAGCGCAAGGCCTGTGATCGTGTCTGTCGCAGTCGAGTGTCTGCATATGTGATCTGTGTTGCTTAAAAACACCGCTCTTCGCCCCCCCCCCCCCCCCCCTCTCTCACACACACACACACACACACACACACACACACACACACACACACACACACACACACACAGTTTTTAGGCCACCGTTTTTTTGCAAATATTTCATACAGGTATCTCAGATTTCCATGAAATCAAAATTTGTTTTGGAATGTGTCTGACTGCTACTCCTGATGATCTAGCGCATTGAATATTAATATAAATTTGTAGGGCAGTTTTCTTGAACAGTGCTGTCAAATTGTATTTGCCCCTTCCTGATTTTTGTGTTCTTTCATCATCAGTGACGAGCAGTGGTGTAGTGGGGATTTTTTAAGTGGGTGTACGCGATTCTGGGATGTTCTATATATACACACAGAACATCAATCATAGGCTACAACACCAGTTGAACTAACGTTAAATTTAATGTTTTACTACTCCAAAATAATCACAGGCCAACGTTATTAAGCATAACTCGCATTAGAACAATGATCAACAAACATTTCAATAAAAATTGAATGTGGCGTCGGGAGAAGTGGGTGGACGGCGTACCCCCGCATACCACGCCCACTACACCCCTGGTGACGAGAGGGCAGACATTCTCCCACGCACCTAGGACACCATCCTTTGACGGCGGCGGCAGGGAGAGGGGTAGATGAAATGTTCAAGTCAGTCAGTCTGGTTCGCAGTGTATGTTGGAACCGGATTTCAAAACGGCGGCACCAGACTTACAGTTGAGCAGGCTGACGGTCTTGGCGTGACGGTCTCAGTGGACAGGCGGCTACTCGGTGACTCAATTGGCTGCAGTAGAAACAGGTACCAGTCTGCCGCCTCTGTTGTTGCTCGTCAAGCAACAATCTTCCTTCACCGAGTTGCATAGGTTCCTCCTGCAACAAAGGAGATTGCATGGCCGGTGGACGGACCTGCATATAGTCCAAACGGATGGCAAGAGCAATGAGTACTTCCAGGTTGGTGGTGGTTGGAGAAAACTGGGAACTGTGGCAAACATTCCCAGGAGTGGTCAACCAGCTAAAATTCCTCCAAAAGTGCGACAACGACTCATCCAAGAGGTTGCAAAAGAACCTCAAACAACAACCACAGAACTCCAGATTTCACTGACCTCAGTTCAGGTCAGTGTTCACGACTCTACCCTAAGAAAGACACCGGCCAAAAATGGAATCCATGGGAGAGTTCCCAGGCGAAAACTACTGCTGTCCGAAATGAACACAAAGGCTTATCTCACATTTGCCAAAAGACATCTTCATCCTCAAGACTTTTGGAAGAACATTCTGTGGACTGATGAGTCAAAAATGGAACACTTTGGAAGATGTGCTGCCTGTTACATCAGGTAAAAATGGTACAACATTTGATAAAAAGAACATTATGCCAACAGTGCAGCGTGGTGGTGGCAGTGTGAATGTCTGGGGCTGTTTTTCTACCTCAGGATCAAGACTACTTGCTGTGATTGATGGGATAATGAATGAGCAACATTCAACCATCAGTTTGCACATACTGTGGTGTGATCTTAAAAGTGCAGTTCATGCTAGAAAACCCTCCAATACGGTGGATTAGAAGCAATTCGGTGAAGAAGAGTGGGCCAAAATTCCTCCACAGCGATGTGAAAGACTCATCACCAATTATCGCAAATGCTTGATTTCAATTATTGCTGCCAAGCGTGGCACAACCCATTAGTAGGTTCAGGGGGCAATTACTTTTTCACATAGGGACAGTTAGTTTTGGATTTTCTTATGTGTCTAAATAATATAAATTGGCATTTATAAACTGCATTTTGTATTTCCTTGGGTTGTCTCTGTGTGATATTAAATTGGTTTGATGACCCGAAACCTTTGTGTGTGATAAATATTCAAAGAACATATAAGTCAGGAAGGGGCAAATACTTTTTCTCGCCACCGTAGCTGCGCAAAATGTCACGTTGCGTACTAGGCAGAAGGAGAGAGCTGCTTCGTACGCAACGGAGCGAACAAGAATAGGTGGATCCCCGAAATAGCAGGCACTGAACAAGGTCTTGTCTATCAAATAATATTTATTACAAACGAAAAAACACCGTCAAAAGGAAAACACAAAACGCTGGTCAAAACGAGAACCAGGAATTAATGTAACGTGAGGAAAAGAAAGCGCTTGCAAAAAACGGCAAGGAAAAGATAAGACAATTTACTTCGAATAACTACGCGTTAAAGAGGATCCCACTGGGATGACGAAATGGTCGCGAATAGCAATAGAGTGCGAGATACGAAATACGAGCATGGGCAATAGCAGTGGCACGGCAAGCAATACTCCGGCAATGAGTTGACAGCCGGAGCGCCTACATATAGCAGGTGTAATCACAAACAAATGCACAACAGGTGTGCAGGTGGCAGAGTGAGTGCCTGCCCCCTGCTGTCGAATACGGGACATGACAGACGGGAAGCAATACAGATGTACAAGACAACATCTACTACCAGTGAAGGAACAACTACCTGAACAAGTCCCTAAACAGTCCAATTGAATCAACAATCAACGCACAGACAAATCAGAGACTGTTGAAGTGGGAAGACACACTCTTGAAAAGACTGACATTGTTACACCAACAAAGGACAAAACCCGGAATGAACAAGAAATTACCAACCAAGCTGAGAAACTAGATACAAGCCCAGTACAAAACAATGCTGATGTGTATCGTACCAGAAGTGGCAGAGTATCAAAACCGAATCGTAAATATCTTGAATAAGTTTTTTTCTGTTCCTGAAAATGTTGATTACTAAGTTGTAGTAGTCCATGTAATGGTAAGTTAGCTGCTAATTTGAATCAGACATTTATTAGCCATTATGTGTGAAAAGAAAAAAAAATTAAAAGGAGGGATGTAGATCTGTTTATTATTGTTTTGTTGTACAGCCATTTTAACCTGCTGTCATACCTCCCGTCCAGAAGGTGTCGTAAGAGTTCTTTTTGTTGATTGCTACACGAGTAAGCCTGTAACACGTTCTTGGTGCTGCTGGAGTAAAACTATTTTCAAGCACCTAAACGGACTGGTTTCTTCATATCAAAACTACACTATGCCTCTGATACCATATCTCTCTAATTTATTCAATAATATAGTATGATCTATTGTATCAAAAGCTTTTTTTAGATCTAAAAAAATCCCAACCGTGAATTCTTTATTGTCTATGTTAGTTGCTATTGCTTCCACAAACTCAATTACTGCCATTTAGGTGGTACGTTTTTCTCTGAAGCCATATTGATTTTCACTTAACAGCCCGTGTTTATATATGAAGTTGTCAAGTCTGCGAGAGAATAATTTTTCTAATATTTTTGAAAATTGTGGTAGCAGTAATATTGGTCTATAATTTGTGAAGAATTTTCTTTCTCCACTTTTAAAAATTGGAATGACTTTAGCTATTTTCATTTTTGATGGAAAAACACCTGCTTGAAATGACAAGTTGCATATGTATGTAGAAGGTCGCACTACAATTTCTATGATCTGTTTTACTATTGTCATATCAATATTAAAACAGTCAGTTGATTTTTTACTTTTATATGTTTTTACAACATTTAATATTTCATTTTGATTCACTGCAGTAAGAAACATTGTGGAAGAATTTTTTTCTATGTATTTATCTATTTCAAAAGAATTTATTGGATCAGGAATTTGTTTTGCCAAGTTGCTGCCGATATTAACAAAATATTCATTAAATTCCTTTGCTATTTGTGCAGTATCCTCAATAATGGTATTTTTATCTTTCATAAAGTACTCCGGATAATCGACTTTACTAGAGCTATTTCTAATTACCTGATTTAAGATTTTCCATATTTCTTGAGTGTTGCTTTTATTTTGCTCCAATAATGTATGAAAATGGTCTCTCTTGCTGGTTCTTATAATGTTTACTAATATATTTTTATAAGTCTTGTA